TTAGTGCCAAGTCGAACTCATATTGATGCATAAGAAGGCATGTCATGGCAAAATTGACTCCTAACTGACTCCTAACTGGCCGTGAGACACACAATTTTAATTAGTCAAATACGTTTTCTTGAAATAGAATCATTCCAATTGTAAAATACTGTGATTGGTTTGGACCACTAGACTAGGAGCAGGGGATCCCTGTGTGGTTCTCATCTAGTTGAACCCAATGACTCTTGCCCAGTTGTTTGTGCGTGCTGGGGTCTCTACAAAATAAAGTAATTGTAAAATTACCAACCTAAATATTACATTTAATTTTTTTTTCCCGGGTGTAAACCGGTATAAAAGGGGGCGGGGCGGGCAGAGTGATGGTGTGATGCCGGATAGGCACGCGCCCACACGCAGGGCTCGAAGCAGGGCTCCTGTTTCCCAGGTGTCGCCGCGTCCTCAGTGACAGCCCCCCCCCCCTTCCCCTCTTTTTGCAGGTTGCCACTGCGAGGACTGCGGACGGCTCGGGGCAGGGCCGCATTGTCTGGTCTGCCGGCCTCCACAAAGGGAAGGGAAGGGCGAGAGGAGGAGGGTCTTACAACGGCACACACAGTTAAAATTTTTGGGTCAACGAAGAGAGAGAGGAGCCCCACTTTTTTGACAGTGGCTGCTCGCGCTTCCTCGCGCTCAGGTGGCTGGCCCCTAGCCCGATCGCGCTCCTTGCTAGGCGGGGCGGGCTGCGCCCGAATCTGATCCGAGCAGCGCGAGTCGCGGCAGTGTGGGCGGGAGGGACGGAGGCGAGTGTCCGGAGACGGCCCGAGAGCGGGGCCTAACAGCGCAGCGACAGATGAGAATTATCTCTCTCTGCGTAGGAGTGACTTGTGCCTGCGTGGCGGGCCGGCGGCGGCCCGGGACAGTCGCAGGCCGACGGGGCCCGGCGTCGGGTGACGACCAGGGGCTGCAGGCGCTTTACCTCCTCCTGGAACCACCCTGGAGCTTCCCTCGGGCTGATGGCGGAGATGGGGGAAGGGGGCCGGCTCCCCAGCAGACTCGCCCCGATCAGGCCGCGGCGTCGCCGACGTTGGCCCCTGACCTCCACTGAGCGCCTCGCGGCCTCGGGCCGAGTTGACCCGCTGACCCGTGT